TTTTTTTTATATACATAATTAATAAAACCGCAAAAGTAAGATGAGATAACTTTTTCTGCTTGATAAAACCGGACATTTTTTCAGAAATATCTTTAGCCTAGCCTTAAGTGGATACCAGTTACAGTCCTGGGAACTAAATGTGGCCGGAGTCATGATCATTACATCACCTATCCAGTGCTGATTGGTATATAAAATATAGATCTATCTCTATATGTCCTATATTCATCAAGGTGTTCAAGGCGTCTTTTACGTTTTTTAAAAACTTTTTTTGTTGTTGTTGCTTTTATCGGAGCAATAATCTCAAACTAATGAAAGATCCATAAAGTTTGGCACGAAAATACACGTGGAAAATACTAAACAATGACTAATAATCCAAATGGCATAACTACACCAATGTACGTTAAAGAACAGAAATTAGAGCAAGTCAATTTTTTCAAATACCAAGGATCAATTTTAAGTGACCAAGGGTTAAAAAAAAAAAATCAACTCTGTAATGGCCCAGCCAACATTGGTCCTTGCCAAACAACAATTTTATGAATATCTGATCGAAGAAGACACAAACAATATGCTGCACAATTTATTGCCGGGGATATTTCGCTGTATCTCGTCAGAAGCATTGTTGTAATGGAAATTGTGCAGTCTATTGTTTATGTCTTCTTTGTTCAAATTTACAACGGGGAATCATTGTTATGACGATTATCAGAGTCCTGTTTGTACTGTCATGGGACAGTACATACCATAGAGTTGGTGTACGTGCATGACAGGAAGGTTTCCGAAAGCTTATAGGGCATATAGGGCTAGACATATATTGTATAGACTAATCGTCACAAGATGGGTGATGTGGTCAGCCTCATGCCGGCCGCCTTTACTTCCCGGGACTGCACCCGATACCCACTTAAGGCTGGGTCGACCTGAGAGCTGATGTAGCGATGCTTTAGAATCGTAGCGTGTTGTAGTGATATTTTCTAGTGACTGATTGTTTGTGATATTGTTTTATTTTTGTTAGTTTAGCGTAATCCTTCTGTGTTTGTAGCATTTCACGGTAATAGTATTTTGTACAGTTTGTCATGTAAGTAGTGCTACCGTATTCTGGTAGTCAGGGTTGGTTTTAGACTGGCTGTTGTGATATTGTCTATTATCCGCACACTGTTTCCCCCACTTTGCGGTCACCGCGAGATCTTGGTGGAGTCCTGTGGCCTCATAAAAGGGCGCATTAGGAGCTGTGTGGGTTTGAACCTTAGTATTATCCATGGAGACGGGAAAGCATGCATGGTGAGTTGTAAAGCCACCACGACGTGTGTTTCGGTTAAGGGTGCCCAAATCTGCTGAAGTCAACTGTCTCTTGTTAGTATGTGCTTTGCATTAAAAATTATTGTGTGTGATTGTGTGTTAAGTTAGTGTTTGTTTGGAAAGATTGTCTGTAACAGGCTTGTACAGCGAGCCACCGTCCATCAGGGAAGATCAGAGGCCGGTGTCAAAGATCCAAAATAAATTCATGTAAAAACTAGGATTTTATTGGTCAGAGCACTATCTATTAGTAAGGTTTCATATGGCTGTGAAAAGTGGACATTTACAGCTTAAGCATTAGAAATGCGATCTTGACTAGTAAATACTGAGACCATATCACTAATGACGAGGATCGCCATATCATTACCCAGCCCATTGGTAACTATAAACCTCTTTTAATTACAGTGAAAACGCGGAAAATGCATTGGTACTGGTATGTAATCAGATCTAGCGGGTTGAGAAGAGGAAAAGAGGAGAAGTGGCACACCATGAACTTGACTAACTTGACGACCCTTAGGCATGTAAACATGACATCGATTGCATCTGACTGTCAAAGACGGAGCGAGCTGAGCAGTCAACAGCAACTGATGACCCAGCGACAGGTGATTTTACGGGATGACAATGCTTCATAGAGATATTGTATACAAAGTTAGAACGCACACATATTAACAAGGCACTTTCCACTAAACGCTTAAATGTAATCCTACCATCTGTGAAGCCTGAGTTGGGTTCGGTGTTGTCAAAAAAGTGGCGGTCGCCATGTTTCAACAGGCTGAACTGAATTCTCAGAAGACAGGAGATCGTTGGACCTACAAGGCCTTCTACTACTGGTTCATGAAGCATTCCGGAGTATAAATCAATGTCGTACATTGAGCTAGGAAAAAAAAATAATATGATTTATTAGATTTAAAAAAACCCGAGGCTTTGTGCAAAGTTGTTGAGCTGTTCCCATCACTATTTATAGATCATAGGACGTTTGCCGGCTGCGTTACATTGAAAAGTACAGGAGATCGGGGCTAGTACTATGAAGTTCTGATTTGTGTTATAATCTTGGTATGCAGAGATACAGATCCAGAAGTTAATGAGGGATAAATCAGGGCTCAAGTAAGTCCACCTCTTGACTTTAAATCTCTTTTCAAACATGCATTGTGTTACTTATCACAGACGTCGTCACAATCACCGTCGTCATGCTCGTTCACCCTCTCACCTCCACATAGCACAATGCAACAATATCGTTTGTAAAAACATACAGTTGATAATCTTGTTTTATAAATAACTAATTCGTAAAATGCGTCTGTAACATTTACATTCGAAAGCCTGAATTCCCATTTCCATCTCCACAGGGAAAGTCCAACTCGCACATCCCTATAAGAAAATAGACAACACCAGTGTTTTGTAAATATTGACCTTGATTGCGATGCTGATTTTGCTCTTCCATGTCGTATTCAACTGAGACATCGCGGCTGTTGCCAATTCAAGTCGTGTCTTGATCTCTTTGGTACAGCTACCATTCTTGCATATGTAGGAACCAATATATTTAGAGGTTTTAACTTCTTCTAGTTTTTTTTCCGCTTATCTGTATGTTGATCTTGCTTTTCTCTGCATTAATTTCCATGCCATATTTACCACAGTCTCTAACTTTGTAGTAAATTCTTGTAGTTCTGCTGCCAATGGATAAAGATGTTTCATGATTTCTCTCATTAGGTGCTCCAAATACAAATTTCATAAACAGTGATATGCCTTCCATAACTTCATCGACTTAGCGAAAGCATTCGACCGTGGGTGGCATGCTGCGCTTTGCCAAATAATGAGAAACTTCAATAGGAACATTATATACACCATTAAAGCACTTTATAAAAATGCAAGCTGTGCACTACTATTTCAAAATGACATATGTAAATTTGTCTAGACCAATGTGGGAGTGAGACATGGTTGCATGCTATCCCCAGTCTTTTTCAGTTTTTTTTTAAAACACTTAATGTCGTTCCAGAAATCCCGTTCAACCGTAAAGTTATATTACAGCCCCCCCCCCCCCCCCCTCCCCAAGCTACAGCCGGGGAGAGGCCTTAAAATGACACCCCTCACCCCTCCCCCACCCCCAAAATTTTTTTTAAAATAAAATGTGCGTTCCACATAGACACAGAACATGAAATGTCTTGTAAGTTTTACCCCATCAGGACATCAGGAAGAGCGACAAACAAAGTGCCACCAGGATCACTAGTGGCTATGTCGCGAAAACCCCGTTCATTCTTTAGGTTAAATCAGGGACTCTGATAACAGCTAGGGTGAGGCTTTAAAACAACGAAAAATTGCATCCTGTAAGGGAACGAAGATTTTTGGAAAAGGTAGGTAGGTAGTGTACCTCACCAGGACATCACATAAGCGACAAACACCTGGTGACACAACGTGCCACCATGCGGATGAGGATCACCCGTGGATAGGTCCCGAAAACCCCTTCAGCGGTTAGGCCATATTTGTGGTCTAGCTATTTTTAGGGTCCCCGGAAAAAGCTAGGGTGGGGCTTCAAAATAGGTAAACATTTTATCCCACATGGGGACGACTGTAATACCGGGGTATAAGGGTCTGTAAAATATGTATTTTCATTGAAAGGTTTTTAAATAATCCATACTGTAAATGTATTTTTTAGCATTGTGCCTGACTACTATAAATGACGTAAGTGTTAACTATACCTAGTCTGTGACCAGTAAGGGTTTACATTTTCATTTGCCGTTATGACTACACTATTTAATTTAACAGACACATTGGCGTCCCTGCTTAGTGTGCATTTCCTTTTTTATTGCGACAATCGGTAAAAGTAAACTATTGCTAGAGTTATATCCGTTTTAATATTTTTACTTTTTACTTTCCTTAAAAAAAAGTAATTTTTAAAATTATTCTTCGCTCATATATATTCCGTTGAAACCATATATCTATATATGTCTGAGACAATACATTTATCTTCGTTCAAATGTTCAAAAAATGGTATTAGAATTACAAGGGATGCCTTGGGTGCACTTAGGGGCAATGACTGAAGACCAGACAAAGGATGGGACAGGGATGAAGTGTAAGACAGGATATTAAAAACAGGGTTTTAGTTAGACCCCTATTTCCACTAGGTTACATATAGGGCAGTGGTGGAGACCGAGATGAGGTAGAGAACGGGAGAATAAAGTTTTCCTTCACTATCTCAGGCGAGGCCAGACAATGATTAAATCTAGTATGTATGTATACATACAAGAATATTAGTGTGTGTCTTTTTTAGGGCTACTACATCCATTTTTCTTTCCCTCATTACACTGATATAACCTAGCATTTCTTTGAACTCGAGTTGCTGTTTTCTGATAATGTTTTTTTTCTTACAATTGCTAAAAATTACTGTAGCTTCTTTTCATTGATTAATGCGAGTTAGCTTAGTACCATCTTTTTCCCTACAAAATATTGTCACAGACCTGATTTCAGACTTTTATAACAAATATTGATTCATTGTTTGCTCTTGTGAATGGTAAATGTTGTCTCGTAAAAACATATGTTTTCATTGTGTGTTTTTTTTAAGTAAACATACTGTTGAAATATTCATTCATTGTTTAATTTTGTAAATGGTATATGTTATCTAGTAAAAAACATCTTATTTGATTGTTTTTTTTTTGAGCGCCTTGGCGCCTGATATCTCCAAAATATTTCAGTTTCCGTGACAAGATGCAGTTCACTAGCTAATATTCCTTGATGTTCAGATTTTTAGGATGTCACTATTTCTTTTCTTTTTATTTCACCCCACTCTAAAACCCTCCCTGTAGTATTTCAGCTCAAAAGCCCCAGATGTTTTTTTCTGCAGTGAGTGTTAGATGGTCTTTTAATCACACTCGTATGTTACTAAAGGTAGCATGCATGCCTTCAAAATGTGTATAATTGTAATTATTATGTAATTTATATACTTCATTAAAGCAGCATTCAATTGTACAGCTTCTGTGGAAACATGTCATACCTATAAACTTTTGCAAGTTCATTTGCATGGGGCCCCAGAGCCTCGGTGTCATTGAGGCCAGTCAGTGGTCGCAGGCCGCAGAACGACCTCCACTTCCAGTAAGGTGCTAGACCATGGTCTCGTTCACGCTGGATATTAAGGGATACAATGTCAACTCCACGTCCAGTGTTATTGTTAAAGAAAAGGAATCTTGACATTTCTTCAGCTGTGGAGTAGTTACATCAAATATATGATGTTATTTAATGAATCAATGAATCTTATTTCCCCCAAAATATGGAAAATGCTTTAAAGAAAGAAAAAATACTGCTAGCAATTTTCTTCGACCTGACTAAAGCCTTTGACAAGGTCTCGAAGAAAGGACTCTAGCTAATACTAACACACAGGGGGATAAAAGGACATATGTTTGCCTGGACTAGAGACATTTTTTTACAGACGCTGCGAAAGAGTCCGACTGCCAGAACACAAGAGCAAGCTGGTCAGACTAGGTTACTAGGACTACAAGTAGGTGTCCCTCGATAGGTGTTTTATCTCCCACCCTTTTTATTCTTTTTATCATTTACCTTTCTAAAAACGTTCGCGACTCACGCATATGGACCCAAGCTGAATATACAAGAACAACAAAAACAATAACGCAGGAAACTTTAAGTGTAGTTAAGAAATCTGTAGATCCTTGGGGAGTCACAGTAAATCAGAACAAAACCGTTTCGATTCTTTTCTCTTTTTTCACAAAGCTAGAACAAGATGACATGTACCTAGAAAGCAATATGCTTCCAAAAGAGGACAACCCTATACGTTGATTAAAGGCAGCATGGCTGGGGCAGTAGCAACAGGCTGTTCAGTTTAGGAAATAAGTTTTGCCCCAGACTTAAAAAAAAAAAAACACACACACACACACAAATACAGTAATCTTACCGAAGACTCAGCATCGTTTCTTTCACATGAGAGCCTATCATTGTACCCGTTCATCCAGAGTCTTTTCACATAAACATAATCTACACCTATTCCATGCAACCGTGGACTTTTCATAGCTCTGTAGAGCACATATACAATTCGGAGGAGCAATTGGATCATCAGTCTTGTGAGAGTGAGGCAGCGAGAAGTGACGAGGGGATTTTGCCTGTACACAACGTTTAGAGGAATGACAAAACCGACGTATAAACAGACTGCTACTGGCAACATTAGTATTATAACTCCGCGCTAGTTGCTGAAGATAGGAACCGGCGCTTATGGGTATGCCACAAATGCTTTGATGTCGGTTCTTGAACGAACTCAACTCAGCTCAGCTAAAAAAGAATTGTTTCTAATGTGCAGGCATAGTATACCTGTTATTTTGTTTTTAGCTGCATCGATGACACAATCTATAACTATATCAATGAGAAAACATAATCTACACTATGCTACATTCAGAATTACATTTTTCTTTCTATCTTTTTAGCGCTGACGGGCTGGACTCTGGCGGATTGCTCTGGTTTTTATCTGCTCCTAGAATTTAGTTTTATTCAAGAAGCTCGTGTGACCATAAATGTTACTATCTTCGGGGTTACAGTAACTTCCTAAATCACATGCGTAGTCAGGCTGTAGATACATAGTGCAAGACATAATCTGTAAGCAGATCTGTATCTTTTTCCGTGGCTATATCCACTGTTAACTTCAACACTAGATCTATGACATTCGTAACTGCACTCATGGCTGTGTTTTTACTTTTTCGGACTCATACTTGAGTTAGAAGAAGAACGGAGCACTTATGGAGTACTAGCCGTGTTCCATGATGTTGATCCGATGTTCAAATCTCAAACCTATGAGCAGGATCCAGCGTGTCGATGCAGGCTCGTTACGCATACACCATGACTGGGTCATTGCAGAACTCTCCTGTGTTTACAGTTAGCTTCATATTTATCCCAAGGATGCAGGTGCTGTTGGTAATGAACAAGCTGATAGACTGGCAGGTTCTTTATTAATTGCAGATGGTTGGCCCATGGAGCAGGCACACAGCGTCAATGCTCTTAGATAGATAGGACACTGCGAGCGTTTTGGAAGCAACGTGTCAACATTAATGCTAGGAATACAAAAATTAGGAGTAAAGCTTGGCACAGTCAAGCACGAGAAGCATATCGGACCTACACGAAGCCTTGTCAACCAGTATAGGAATGGCACTATTAACCGCGCGATGCTTATGAATACATCAAAGGGAGATCTGAGCACCTATGGACGTCTGGAGTGCTGTGAAGATAATCCAACTGATAGCCAACTGATAACTCATAACTGAAAACTCACCCATTTACTACTCAGTGTCTATGACAGTATTAGGGGTTTCATCCTTACTACTCTCTACGAGCCTGTATGGGCTTAAATCAGCTCATACAAAAATTAGCACGCCAGCATGAGTATGGTTATTGCAGTTTAAAAAAAGATTACATAACGAAAAAAATTAGATTAAAATAGCTTACACAGTATTAAGAGTATATTAGTAAAATCGCGTACTTAAAGACTGAGATAACTCTATCTGAGACAGGCAGCCAAAGAAGAATAGAAAAGCAACATACAACTGGCGTATTAGACTTTGGGGAGATATAGAAGATGGGATTTGAGTGCTCATTGACGTGTCCAATGGGGGAGAAGGATCGGCAGATTAACTAACTAACTAACTAACTAACTAACTAACTAACTAACTAACTAACTAACTAACTAACTAACTAACTAACTAACTAACTAACTAACTAACTAACTAACTAACTAACTAACTAACTAACTAACTAACTGATTGACTGACTGACTGACTTACCGACTAACTAACTAACTAACTAACTAAATAACTAATTAACTAACTGACTGACTGATTGACTGACTGACTGACTGACTGACTTACCGACTGACTGACTGACTGACCGACTAACTAACTAACTGGCTACCTAACTAACTAAATATTCGAAAACACATTAATAATTATAATTGATACTTCATAAACACTACTATGCTAGCTACCATGTTTAATGCTAATACTTTAAATTAGAGACAAACTACCGTACACACGTATATTATTATTTCAACTTACAGAAATATCGATCTGAGGCAAAGATGCCTTTATTTTCCGCCCCTTTGCCGACCATGCCAGCAATGATACTGTCATAAAACTCGACAGCAATATGTGGCCTGAAATAATACAGCGAAAATGTCAGTTTTACCGTCTCCGATGAATGAAAAATACTGTGGAAACACGTTAAAATTAAATTTCTAAATCTATTACTCTAGAATTTCACAGTGTAAAACAGAAATTGAGAAAATCTTTAAAATACCGAGACGTGATTTAGAGACTGATGGGGAGGACACGAGTAGACAGAGTCGTGGTGAGCGAGCTCGCTGTGATTTGCTGTAGGCCCAATCGTTCAAAACGCAAAAAGAAGTAAAGAAGAGACGATGAGTTTTGAGGAAGCCACAACACGGACAGTGTATCCAAGACATTAAAAGACTAATTCACTGGAGGATGAGAACATTCTACAGACGGTGTTCAAACGGGGGAGGGGGGTGTGAGAGAAGGGGGGGGGGGTATAAGCAGACTTCTAATTAATTTGCGAAAGGTACTGTTTGCTTATCGACTTTTTATTCGCTACCAAGAAAGGAGATGGAGTACGCGTGGGAGTGTCCCGAATGCAGTGATGTCAATTCTTGATTCATGCATTCATTCAGTCAGGAACGGTCGAAGAAAGGGGAACGGTCGAAGAAATGGGAACGGTCGAAGAAAGGGGAACGGTCGAAGAAAGGGGAACGGTCGAAGAAAGGGGAACGGTCGAAGAAAGGGGAACGGTCGAAGAAAGGGGAACGGTCGAAGAAAGGGGAACGGTCGAAGAAAGGGAAACGGTCGAAGAAAGGGGAGCGATCTTACATTTACCCCGCCCCTCCCTACCCTACCCCCCCCCACACACACAGACACACATTTTTATGGGCACCAGCTTAAAACTCAGTTTTCTCCATGATGAGCCCTCTGTAATGTTATGGTTCTTAAAGTTAGTTGCGTATACTTTACAGGACTTTGCACAACCAACCCCAACAGCCCCTGGCTGTTGTGCGGTTTTTCTAGGCAAACTTACGTCCAGTAGTTTGCCATTGCTTTCTGGACATTCTGCTTTCTTGCTACCACTGTCGAAACCAACGCAAGGCGCATGGCCCACAGCTGGGATCAAACCCGGCATCCCGACATTACGAAGCGTTCGCATCGACTAAGCCAAAGAGCCGACTGTTATGGTCCTAGAAGTCCTGAACAAAATTCAAAAATCTTTAAATAAATAACCATTCAGTGTAAATCACTGAAATTAGTATACCACACTTTTATAATATTATCCTTGTAGACAAATATTTTCTTTTTATTGTGTTATGTAAACAATCATTTAGTTTTAGTTTTTTTTCTTTTATTATTATTATTATTTTTTTTTAAATCAACAGAAATGGATACAAAGCAAACAATCATAATTCTTCTAGTAACTTGAGTAAATCAAGTACGGTTATCTTTTCAAAACTTCAAACTGCACGCAATCTATGGTCTTTCACTCCCTAGTGGTAATCTCCAGTGGTTGCCTCCAGTGAGTTAGAATTACAGTTTTCACTGTATGCCTTTTATGCTATCAAAAAAAAATCTCCAAGCATGGCTGCACGGGTAAACTGATTTACAGACAATCCACACGCATATGTCAATGACTGTGTTTTCAGTTTTTTTTTTTTACACACATTATTATTTAAACAAAGATAACATAAATTCACAGCTTCAAAAAAAAAAAAAAAAAAAAACAGCATTAAGTTTAAATGACGAAGTCATAATGGAAAATAATAATAACATGGGAAATTTAAGTTGTGTTGTTCCGTACAGAAGTTTTCGAGATTTTTGTTGAAGTGTAAGAATACAAGTTTTGAAACTCACTATAGTCACGTAGACACGTTAAGGAAGCGAGTGCTTTTTTATAGCTGCTGTCCATAGTATGCCATTTTGGTAATAAGATATAAACAATGTATGATATATTACCTGGTAAACAGAAACCTCAGAAGCACTAACTTATTTCCGACCAAGTACAACGACGGAACAGTCGAATGGCCGAATCTTAAGCCTGCAGTGCTGACATCCGTTAAAATAGAGGGGTTGAGGCCTGGGTTATAAATGCTTCTGCCAAATTTAGATGTGAGTTTCCAACGCTCTGCTTCTTTGCCGATAACAATTGACAGGTAGGTGTCGAAGGTGAAAAATTGATGTATTGCTGCAATTAGTCAAATATCATGTAATAGAACATACATTAGGCGCTTTGAATGTTTGCAAAAACTTCATATAGCCTCACACACAAGTAAAGGGTAATTTTTCTAATTTTGGCAAATTGCACATTTAGTGCTAGACATTTATTTATAGGCCAATCATTGGCCATAAGCTTATCTTATGGAGTTTTCATTTATAAGAATTATCGCCTGAGCTAAGGAGCTCGTGCTCTGAGCATGACGTCATCTTCATCGAGCAGCAAAGAGAGAGAGAGAGAGAGAGAGAGAGAGAGAGAGAGAGAGAGAGAGAGAGAGAGAGCAAAGAGGAGAAAACAAGGAAATAGAGAGATAGGAAAGCAGAGACATAGAAAGACAGGAGCCAGGAGATTTGGGCGAAAAATAATTTCTTTGGTGCAGGACAGTCTAGCATATGATACCACAACATCTAGCATGAGAATGGAGGTGGAGGCGGTAACTGCATACTCATGTCGTTGTTGTAATAGATTCCGAAAGCATGCTGAGAAAGGTAAAGACAGGGATACTCGAGCAGAGTGGCAAGCTTCACTGGAAAGGTCACGAGTAGTGAGCATACTTTATTTGTGTTCTCCGGGTTATGTCGGCGTGGTAGGGAATGAAAAAGCACACATACTAGCTGGATCTGTACCACTGGGGGTGTGGGGGTGGGGGTAAACTGATACAGAACAAGGCAGCTATGGTCAAGGCTCTTTGTGAACAAGTGGCAAAGTCATAGGAGAAACAGGATTATTATGGTCAGGAGAGAATGATTAATCCTGGTTTAACCAGAGGGTCTGACCGGCTTCCTACACTCAGGGAAAAGGCAAGAAGGAGATGACAGCATTAAAACTTTGCTCTGGCTGCTGAAGATGGGTACGCCCTGGAAATGCCCTGAGTGCTAAGATGTCAATTCTTGACTAAATTCAGCTCAACTTATACGCCAATCAACGTTCAATATGTTGTGTAGGTATATAAATGTATATGCGCGCTCCTCGTAGGACGTTAGGGAATAATGCTTGACATTTTTGAAATTGTATCTAAGAACTAAATATATATATATATATATATATATATATATATATATATATATATATATATATATATATATATATATATATATATATATATATGAAAGAATT